GACCTTGGATAAGATCTTTGTGTAAGACTTTTCATATTTATAAAATTGGAAAAATACGTCCTATTGTGGCATTGTAAAGATTGCATGAAGTGTCCTGGCCTGTGTGGCTCAGTTGGTTAAGCGTTGTCCCATGCACCAAAGGGTTGCCAGTTTGATTCCCAGTCAGGGCACATGCCCAGGTTCTGGGCTTGATCCCTGGTGGGGGTGTGCAGGAGGCAGCCGATTGATGTTGCACTCTCACATCAATGTTTCTCTCTCTCTCCCTCTCCCCCCTTCCTCTCTCTCTAAGAATTAATAAAATATTTCTTTAAAAAAAAGATTACATGAAGCAACAAGTAAACAGACCCTGTTCTATACTAGATTCTCAACAAATGCTACTTTTACTTAAGTATATTTGGAAGGGTAAGGTTTGGAAATAATTTGGAAAGCAAAGATTTGGGTGGAAAGAAGGTTTTAGGGAAATGATTAAAGGCTACAGTGGGCCACATGAGAAAACATTGTTATGATTGGACGTATAAAGACAATATTGTGTTCTACAAAAATGCATAGAGAAGGGCACGATAATCTTTCCAAGTAATATGCACCTAATACCTGACAAAGAATCACAGCTTGAAAAAGTGTGTAGAGAGCAACGATGCTGAGGACAAAGAGGCTGGGAATTGTAGGTGACATTGACTTGCAGGGTCTTGCCTCAGAGGAGAATGAGTTTCTTTAGTGTTGGTTGAGAGTGCAAAGCCACTTAGAGCCACTTAAAGCTGGGTAAGGAAGAGAGTATTGTCTGCTGCCAAAGGCACTACAAGACATCCATTACTTTCCTTCTTTCTCACTTTCTTGAATATGGTGGAATCAAAACAAAGCAGTCATCTGCTAATTAGTAAGTTTCTTTCTCTTACAAAGTCTACTAAGTGTTGCACTGACTTTGTTTTTCTCTATTTCCTCCTTGCCCCTGCCCAATTCTTGTTTTGGTTAACAAGTCCCCTATCACTTTAGGATGGTTTTGTGATAAAATATAACCATCAAATTATGAGTTGCATTACCTTCCATGTGCCCTTTTATATATATAAAAAAGTAGTTGATTCTTCTCATTTTGATATTTTCTATACTACTTAGTTTCATTCCCAAAATTATGCAAGAATATAAAGGACAGTATAGCCACCATATTTGTTCACAATCTTTCACTGAGAATATGAAAAAGTGGCAGATGTAGAAAGATCTCATTCAGGGAACATGGGCATAAGATTAACTTTTAGGTGAGGAATTTTCTAGATTAGGGATCCAGAAAAACTTGCCCCAGTTAAGAGTTCACCAGCTACTTTAGAGAACTTGCTTTAATCGCGCATGTACAGTCCCTGTGAGTTGCCAGATTTCTGTCAAGATTGACTGCAGGGAGAGAGTTCTTCAGTCACATGATGTCAGGAAAGAACTCCGCTCCAGGGAACACTTATGCAGATGTTGCAGGTTTTCTTGCTGGAGACTTAGGTGGATGAAAACAAATTAGGAAAGTGTTTGGAGCTCTGAATTATAAAGAATTTGGGGAGTGAGGGCTGATTGTAGCTTTTACTTAAATTTGACAGAGGTGAATTTTCCTTAACTACTCTGGGAAAAATGAAAATCAAAGGAGGCAAAGTAAGTGACAGGAGTTTATAAATAGCAATGCTGTAGATGAAGGTAAGGCATACACACCAATAGTTATTTTATGTTTAAAGAGGAAATAGTCACCATCTTTATCAAGGTGGAGAAACTACTCTCTTAAGGAGTCCTTCCCAATGCTTGATCAATCTGAAGTGAGTCCTCACCGACTTCACAAAGTACCTTCTTGCACTTCCCTTTCCAACAGGAGACTGGGCTGTGAGAAACTTATTGAAGCACAATACACACAGCAGGACTGGATTTGTGGGCATGCATAGACAAGTTTCTTTTTCTAACATCTGAGCAGAAACTCTTCATTTTCCTGAAGTATCTGGGTTCCTTTTACTAGCTCTAAGGCTTTAAAAATTTTTTAAAATAGAGAATAGGTTATTCCTATTGTCTTCCTTTAAAAATGTTAATTCAAATATAGAACACAGCACTCTTCATATTGAGAGCCTTTGAACTCAGCTCCTGAATAGAAATACAAAGGAAATCCTTGAAAGTAATATGGATGATAGACTATATCTAGGTCTTCATTTGTTTATAGTTTAAAAATCAGTGGGAAAATCATGATCAAAAGCAGGCTAATTCATAGCAGGAAAACTCTAGTACCACTTCACTTGGCTAAATTCCCTAAAGAGTCTTTGATTCAAATGGTTCACACAAAACAAAAATGTCTGGTAGGTTCAGAGTTCTTTCTGGCAATAAACCTCCAGTATAAACAGGAAGACCCTTGGACCTCTTGTAAATTTTAGAAACAAATTGTACTCATTACTCAGCACTCAGTCGTTTTGACTTTGAGACAAGAGTCAGAGTGATTAGTAAAAGTTGGAGTTTTAAGTTCAATGCAGAGGTTATTTACCATTACCACAACAGAAAGTGTATGTGTGTGTGTGTGTGTGTGTGTGCATCAGCAATTTTATTAAAATGTGAAGGGTGTAATGCTATTTAGTATCCTTATTAGGTATGACTCTAAAGAACTTGACAATTACATCATCATTACTAAAGATAAGAACTCCAACCTATTATGCTGTGATCAACACTGCAGAGCAAGAATATTAGACAGTTTCCCCAAAGTTGGAATAATGTAATTTTCAAAGGAACCATCCATTATATTTCAGAAAAAAGGCCAGTGGAACCTTTTAGCAGAATTGATGACTATTCTTTATGATAAAAAGTATAATTGTGTCTAATTTCCAGTGGAAACAAATGCATACAGAATTAAGTAATGTAGTGGAGAAATTGACAGTATATAACCACACAACCAAAATAATAATAATAATAATTTTAAAAGAGAGTCCTGAATTTCCTCTGCTAAGTAGAGAAACTATGCAGTTAGAAACTTACTCAACAGGATGAGAAAGAATGATAGTACACATTTTTAGTATCTTTTCTAATTAATTTTTTTTTCTTTATTGATTTTAGAGAGCAAATGAGAGAAAGAGAGAGACAGGAGCATCCATGAGAAAAACATCAATTGGCTGCCTTCTGCATGCCCCCCACTGGGGTTTGGGCCCACAACCTGGGCATGTGTCCTGACCAGTAATCGAGCAGGCAACCTCTTGATGCATGGGTGGACACTCAACTACTGACCCACACTGGTCAGACTTAATATCTTTTTAAAAGAGGTTTTTTTTTTTTTCAATCCTCATCCAAGAATATGTTTATTGATTTTAGAGAGTGAGAGAAACATAGAACCCACAACGTAAGTATGTGTCATGACCTGAACTGAACCCACAACCCTTTGGTGTAGGGGACAATGCTTCAATCAACTGAGCCACACGGGCCAGGGTAACATTTTTCATATGTTTAACGCCTATTTAAAATCTGAGAATTAGGCATGTTTCTGAATCAATTTGAGTGGATTTTCCAGAATATAAAAGGAAAACTCAAACAGTATTTATATTTATTTGGGCCATCAAAAACAATTGGGAATATATTTAAAAGCAAATTGGGGTTGGGATAAGAACACAGGTGTGTGTGTGTGTGTGTGTGTGTGTGTGTGTGTGTGTGTTTCTTCTTAAATAAACACAATCCACAAACCCATCTGCCTTCACCAGTCCTTAAAACAAAACAAAACAAAAACGCTCTGGCCTCAGTATCATTAGGAAGATAAAGCCAGAGCCCCTGAACTTTTCTTTCCTGGGAAGGTAAAGTGGGGAGGGTGGTTCATCTGCTTTGCTGCCAAGGAAGCATAGCCTAGGACCCCCTCTTCCAGGACAATCTTTGCTCCTCCTTTCCACTCCTTCCCCTAATGCCAGAACAAATCTCCGGCTCTTCTGGAGCTAAAGCAAGCACAGTGGGGCCGGGGGTTTAGAGCAGCTGCTGGTTTGCCAGAAGGCAAGGTTTGGAATGAAGCAGCTCTCAGCAAGAGCTGTGCTCGCGCTGTGGCTATTCTGTTCTCGGGTTTGGAAAGCCTTTCTTCCACCCCCCTTAGCTTTCCCGGCAGCAACTGCAACCAAGTGCAAATAGATCGTGTGTTTGGCGCAAAGAGCCTGGGGAATGAGGGGCGTGGAATCATTCTCTGGTTTTCCCCCAGCCAGGTCCTAGGTAGTGGAATCTGCAGAACTGTCCCCCAAGTCCGCGACGCCGCAAACACGGCTGCAGGTGGCAAGCGGAGCTGTCCAGCATTAGTGCGGACCCAGCGGGAGCCAGGAGCCCTGCGCGCCCAGCAGGGCTAACGCTCAGCAGCAGCGCTCTCGCCCGAGCAGACGCTGTCCTCATTCAGTGCCGCTAGGAGCCAGCCCAAGCGGCCTCCTGAAGCGGAGAACACTCGTCCCCACGAGCTGCTTCAGCAGGATAGGTACCAACATGTTGCCCCTTCCTTTCTCCTTGTAAGTGTCTCCTCTGGAACGGGTGGGCTGGACCGGTTGACCTTTCCCCCAAGCCTCAGAACTTCCTAAATAAACTCGAAGCAAGGCGGGGAAATGACAAATATGGACCCTAACCCCTCATTTGGAGCTCTCAGGCTTTCCCGAGGAGGATCCCCTCCTTTCAGCGCCCGCCGACCGGTCTGCTCCGCAGCTGCCTCTCCCGCGGGCGAGGGGGAGGGCATCTGGGGTTAGGGCCCTTTGATCGGATCCAAGCTACAGTGCAATCTTCCTCCTCTTCCGAAAAGGTGGGAGCGGGGAGGGCGCGCAGAGGACGGTAACGAAGTGTCCTCGTTGCTCCTGAAACGTGCGACAAGCGAGACAGACTCCCAATGAGTATGATGGCGCCACGTGATACAGGCGGAGGGAGAGTATGGGGCGGGGGGTGGATAAAGGGAGACGGAGGGAGGCGGGCTGCAAAGAGAGAGAGGAGGAGGGAGAGAGGGAAAGGGAGGCGAGATAGGCGCGCAGGCGGTGGAAGTATCTGCCTCCCGACCGCACGGGCCGCAGCCCTCCCCGCCGCGCCGCCCGCGGTCACACAATCGGAGCCTCCGGGCGAGCCGGAGCGCGGTGCACAGCGACGCGCCGAGGCGGGCGCTGAGGCGGAGCCGCGTGAGCAGCAGCAGAGGCGGCGGCGGCCCCCAGCCAAGCCCGGCGCCGCCGCCGAGCCCGGGCCCCAAGGTGCGGCGGCGCCCAAGTTCCCGCCATGAGCAACGGGCTCTGGCGACTCCGCGGCTTCGGAGACTCCCTCCCGGCTCCGCGTGATCGCAGCGCCCCGCGGCCCCAACGCGCCTAACGCAGCCGCTCGCCGGTCCCGCCGCCGCCACTGCCGCCCCCGTTCCGGCTGCCGCCGCCTCGGCCGCTTCAGCGCCGACAGCAGCATGTCTCGAAGGAAGATTTCGTCCGAGTCCTTCAGCTCCCTGGGCTCCGACTACCTGGAGACCAGCCCCGAGGAGGAGGGGGAATGCCCTCTGTCCAGGCTCTGCTGGAACGGCAGCCGGAGCCCGCCCGGGCAGCCCGAGCCCAGCGCGGCCACCGCCGCCTCCTCGGCCCCGGCCCTGGCTGCCTCCGCTGTCGCCGCCGCCGCTACCGCCGGGACCAGGAGGGCGCAGCGCCGGAGGCGGGTCAACCTGGACTCTCTGGGTGAGAGCATCAGCCGCTTGACCGCACCCTCGGTGAGCCGGGGCGGAAGGAGGGCCGGCGTGTCGGGAGAGAGGACGGGGATTGGGAAAGTTGGAGCCGGGCGTGCGCGCAAAACCAGACCGCTGGGGGGCAGCCCGACCGCTGGGGGGCGGCCCGGTCTCACCCTGCCTGGCCTCGGATTCTCCGGGGCTCGGGCTCCGGAAGAGACCCAGACCCCTGGGCTCTGGGGGAAGGGGCCCAGAGTACGCTAAAGTAGTAAGACTCCGCTCTCCCGGGGCTCCTGATTCGAGAGGCTCCCTGCCCACCTCCAGCCCCTGACCGCCCCAGTGCTCTTTCACACTCACCTGTTCCCCCCACCCCCACAAAACTTTGTCAGGCGTCGTGTTCCGCAGTTTATATTTCCATGTCTTTAATCTCTGTTCTACCAGAGGGTCACCTATCCCTTCCAGGAAACATTTTCTCTCCTTTTTTCCCACACTCTTGGTTTTAGCGTGACCTCCTCAGACATTTTTGAATTCCACAGGCTGACTTCATTCTGTGTTGTATCCCTTTTCTCCAATCTCCAGAAACTGGATGTCAGATACTTGAATTGCCTTCTGATGAAAAACCCTCTACTCTCTTTTCTCCCCCATCCTTTTCTGTTATTCACTGAGCGTGATTGACTCAACCTTCTTCTCTGGGCAACCCTGGTGTCTGGTTTTCTAAACCTCTTTGGTATTTCTTGCACCCGTACCTCAAACCTTCAGTCTGTTTTCCCTGAATTTTTCAAGTGCTTTCTCATTCATTGTGTGTGTGTGTGTGCTTTCCTTTTATCAAGACCTTCATAAATACCTGTTGAGTGAGCAAATGCCTTCCTAGCCCTCTAAACTCATACTGGGATGACTGTATCAGTAGTTATAGGTGTATGCCAGACTCCTCTGGTTCTAGGCATCCTTCCAAACACTTCTGCTCATTCCTGCTCAGGCATTTCAGCCACCTTTGACGTGGACCATTTGCAGGAAATGCCAGACCTGTATTTTAGTTTTTGTATGACCTCTGTTTCGAAGGAATCCACACCGTTGCAGACAGAATCAGAAGGAGATGCAGTGTCAAACCTCCATCCACCTTTTATTCTCACCCTGACCTTGGATACAAGGACTTCAACTCCTGACAACAGTTTTATCCACTCTCCCTTGGGCCTTCTACTTCTTTGAAATTTCCAAAATGAATTTGAACTTTGATCTTGTTTGACTACTCTTGAGTCTCTTTTGGAAAATACTCTTGCAGTTGTTGGTAGGAGGGACCTGAGGAGTGGAATCCTGAGGGACTGGGTACTGATACTGGGTAGTCCTGCAAATATCCTGGTGGTCCTTGCATTATTGGGACATGATCTTTTCTTTTAACAATGAAACTACTCTTTGGTCATCTTTCTTTTGTTGTATATTTTCCCTTTAGTTTTCCTTTCTGCTACCTTTTTCATTGACAACCTAAGAAACAAAACTCAGAGTGGGTTGGCTACTATTTGCTACTCTTTACTGTAAATATTTCCCAGGAAGCATAATTTTAGGAACTATTTGACATTGTAAGTTTTGACCATGAGTCTTTATTAAAGGAGTCCGTAATCCTGTGCATCTGTGGTTTTGTGTCAGTATCGAAAGCAACATTTACGCAATATACTAATTCTTCAGTACCACAGTCATATCTGAATACAGTGATTTTCTAAAGAGAATGATTTGTTTAGGGGGAACTGTTTTGTGTAATTCTGGAGTTTTCTTTTTGCCTTAGAATCAGAATTTACAAATTTCTAAAAAAGTAGCCACAGTGCTTCTGATAATGCTAATTTAACTTAACACGTTCTCACCAACTTATGTGAGGAGTAGATAAAATAAACAGAGCCTATGTATTTAACACCAGAATAAGAGGGAAGAAACACTGTCTAATGTTTATCCTTATAAGTCAAATTTTAGTGACTCTGACTTTTTGCTAGATAAAAAGAATGTGCCCAGGTAATGGCTTTTAGGATAAGAAATCTGAAGATTATTTTGATGATCTAATAAATGCAACAGCTATATGTACTTTCCATGCTGTAAGTCTTTTCCATTTTGGAAAGTATCTGTGGGTCAGAATGCTGACAACATACTGGTGAATGTAGTGTGAACATTTTTTACATCATAGTGCATGTACAAATAAATTTCATTGGCTAACCATATCACCAATGGACTTAGTAACACAAAGAAAACAGGTTATATTTCAAAGCAGTGACTTGTTTTGGTGGTTACCACCTTTGTTTTATTTGGTAAGCTAGAACATTGCTTCAAAAAGTTCTAGTAGCTTCATTTTTCTACATTGTCAGGATTCTGAACTCTGAAAACACTTGTGAAAACAGATTATATCCTGATTTATAGTAGAACTAAATGATTTAAAAAGAAATCTTTGAGAGTAGTCATTACCAGGGCATTCTTAGATTGGATTTTCTGGTTGTTTTGATTGGTATGAGCTTTCTTGCATTCGTCACAACATAACTTCAGGAAAAACTGTATTTGCTCTGGGAACTCTCTTCTTAGTGGCCTCATCATGGAATGTTGTCTCAATCACTGGAAATTTAGCCTTCATTCAAAATAACTTGCAAGTAGGAAAATGGCAGTTAATTCAATACATACTAGGATATTGCCAAGTAACCAAACTAATTATTTGATCAATGGGATTTTCAAACTCTGGTTTTTGATATTTTAAAAATCATTTTCATATACATTGATGTTGGACATAAAGATTATAACACATTATACTATTTTAATAATAACAATTAATCGAGTAGATGAAATTGAAAAAAATTCCAGAATTCAGCAGACCTTGTGCCTTGGACAACTAAACATTTTTATATTTTTGTACATACCATTTTAACTCTCCAGGATCCTTCTCATTTGTAAGGTATCATACTTAGAGTCCCTCCACATTCTGGGATTCTATGGAGACATAAAATGTATTATCAAGCTTTTGATAAACTGTCACAATGGTGCATGGAAGGAAAATAAGCACATATTATAAGTTTTAAAACTTCAAGGGAAGTAGATTACTTTCTTAAGTAAGGACACCAAAGTCATATTTATTCCACCTAATTATTTAAAGATATTTGAGGACCTACTGTGTGGCAAGTATTGTGCAAAGCACTGGCAATACAATAGCCAGAAAAAAAAATTCCCTGTCTTTGACCTCATGTGATTTTTTAAAATTATAGTCTTTATTTTAATGAAACTGTATTGTGGGAAATCATAAGAACTTTAGTTGTCCTGGGGATGTCTATGGCAAATTGTATTTATTATCCAGTTTGGGTAGTTTTGTTTACTGTGAATCTGTGGAGTGCAGTCACAACAATGAAAACAACCCGGAGGCCCTGACTGAAGATAAATAAATCACTTATTATGTTATTTATTTTGAAATAACTTACTTGGGAACATATATGGAAAAATAGCTGAGGATTATATATTAAGGGTGAATTTAGTAACCCATTTATTTCTATTTTATTCTTACCACTGAGAGTTGCTTAGAACCCTATCACTTTGACATGGGCTTGGGGTTTACTAGAGTCTGCCTGTCAGTGAAGATACTCCAGAAGACCAACTACAGGGCTAGGCTTCCCTGGTGTTCTTGTCAGAGGTAGACTGGCCACTCCACCATTGCAGGTGGCTTTGAAGACTTCAGAAGCTACAGAGAGCAGAATGATAGGAATAGAGGAACAGAACTGGAATGATGACGAGTAAGGGGAGGAAAGCTCCTGACATAGAGAATGGTCCAAGAAAATGAGAGAAGAGTGAGCAAAGAAAAAAATGAAAGGAAGTTTGGATTCCAGTAGCAAAAAAGCAAAAATGGTTTTATTATTTTGGGAAAAGTAGTATATTGATACAAACCTATGAAAAAAGTGAAAGGATATAAAAATACATATTTAGCCTTTCTTGATATTAAATACAATTAGCCCTCTGGCATGTATAAACTAGTAAAATAAAAAAAAAGCCTTGGGAGTGTGAATGTGAATGTAACTAGCATGTAAATAATGAAAAACATACAAAATAGATTTGTGAGGTGGGATATTTGACACGTTTTTGTATTTTAATTGGAATTTTTAAAATCTGGGCTTAATTTAGCTAACAAAGTTCTGAGTAACAGACTCGTTGCAATTGGAAAATTACACAAAATGTATTATAGTAGTTTAATATTTTTATATTTGTAAAGAAAATAGATATTGTAATCTGAAATCAGAGTTTAATGCCCATTTATTGCTTTTCTTTACCTCATCCTTAATCAGTGAGAAATAACGTGGCAGAGTTGAAAGAACAAGTGTTTGGAGTTTGAGTCATGGGTTTGATTAACTCCCTGCTGAGCCCCTTTCTAAATGTGAGACCCTGGGAAAACCAACTCTTATCTTCTTAGAGCCTTAGTTTCCTATTTTGTGAAATAAGAATAATAACAATCTTGTAGATTTGTTGTGAAAGAGGAGCAGTGTACTGTTAAAACTCCGCAAAATTGCCCGGGTGGTGTGGCTCAGTGGATTGAGTGTCCTCTCTTAGACTGAGAGGTCCCCGTTAGATTCCTCATCAGGGCACATGCCCAGGTTTTGGGCTCGATCCCCAGTAGGGGGTATGCAGGAGGCAGCTGATAGATGTTTTCAAATTTCTAAAAAAAAAAAAAAAAAAGTGCTCCTTAAAATCAATAAATGATAGTTTTGGACTGAGATCCATGGATTTTAACCAAATTTGAATACCTCCAAATGATCTAGTTTTTTTCCTCAACACTTTACTTGTTGGTAACCTTAACTTCATAGGTTAACTGATGTCATGTACCTAAGAAATAAGAAAAGTGATAAGAAGTTTGTTTTGTTGGCATAGCCCAGCCAATTCATTTACAAAATTAAAACTGGAGTCTCTTTTTGGCTCCCTGGCTATGACTCGTGTGTGTTGTGTGTACACAGGCGTATGTAATCATTGCACATTCAAACATTTCTATCAAACTGCAGAGTGCTATGTGGACATATGAAACCCACTTTTATACATTTTATAAG